CATACATCTAGCAATCAAGCCAAAACACTAGGATCGGACCTCGGCCATCCTCATATCCCAATGGGCAAAAGACTCAACCACCTTGACTTATGCATATGCATCTTATCATGTTTTAATCATAGGCGCCTGGCTACTCCCATGCTAATAACTCTCCCGGGAAACATACCCCACATCCCTTCGGATGTAGTCATACATACCCCAACATCCCGTCGGATGTGGTCATACATACCCCACACCACTATGGGTGTAGTCAACCCACCGCTCTGGGTGTGGTCATATCTCATAAGAATTCTTCAGTCACCACCACATGAGAGGTGTGACTATCATACATATCATAATAGAGTAATAGCATAGGGAGCCCTAATTACTATGTAGTTGACCGTGAGACCACAACACTCATATTTGGTATCCTTATACATGATTCATATCTCATCTTGCTTAATCATAATTCGTTACTTGCATGTCTACTTGACCTGACCATAATTGGCTCAACATAGGTAAACCAGGAGTCGTATAATTTCACTTCCTCGGGATAAACCCTCGTGCAAGTCATTCTCCTTAAAACATCATAATATCACCAAGGAATATATATTTTCCCACTTGTGCATCCAAATACAACAATCATGAAAAATCATACCTAATCACCTTCTCGAACCATCAAAAGCATATTAACAGTCAAGCCCACAATTTGCAACATATACACAATCATCAGCATAAACAAGGTCCATATCGATTAGGGCAAGTCAATAATATCATACAACAATCTAGGGTTCAACATATAGCACAAAAGTTCATACACCCCTAATCATGCCATTCTAGTTCACCTAAATGAATTCTAAGCATCAATGTAATTTTCATGATACGACAAACCTGGTATGCCGTGCTAATCCCTCACTAGTTCTAGTCGTTCAAACACCGGTTTTTGCCTCCCGTACTAAAACGTCAATTTCACGAAGGAACCCCGAATTAAATTCCGAGACCGTCCTAATATCCCTTGCAGTATCCCCGTCAATATTAGTTCTAGGCTCTGGGTCAAATTCTTGATAAAAACACATCAAACCCTGGCCGGAGCTAAATTCAGCGATTTGGACCCCGACCTAAATAATTGCAGAAATTCAGGGATTAGAACTAGAGGATTGATTACCTCGCTGCAGGAAGCTCGTATATGAAATTTGGGCTCAATCTGGCTTCCGGATACTCTGAAACCCTAATTTGGCTTATCGGGAATTCAAGAAATTCCTGATCCAAAAACTCGTTTTAAAGCTCTAAATCGATAAATCACAGTGTATAGATGAATTAGGCATTACTTACGGGATTTTTGGATCACTTATGCTCAAGAATTGAGCTCTTGAGATTTCCCCCCCTCGCTTCCCCTGAGCGTCCTCTGCTCGCTCTGCTCTCTGTCGAAAAGGAAAATGATGAAGATGGGAATAATGGACGGGGAATTAAATGGACAATATATATATATATATAATTAATACGTATACTTATTCGATCGATTGATAATCCAATTTTCGCCGAAATACTATCAAAACGCTCGATTTTAAATCGCGAACTTTCTAGCGATCGAAATATGGGTTTTGCCAGAACGAGATGTTACACAACATAATGTTATCCATAATTATGCGCCCCTAAAAGCAGTTTGATTTGAGCTAATCACAGTAGGAAGAATCTCTCTAACTCATTTAAACAGCATCTTAGCAACTATCTTGTAGACTATATTCACACAAGAAATAAGCCTAAAATCTTTAAGATGAATAGCATTGGGTACCTTTGGACAAAGAGAAACCACTTTAGAATTTATCCCGCTGATCATTCTTTTTGTCTGAAAGAACTCCAAGATAGCGTTGGTCACATCCCTTCCCACAATATGCCAAGTTTTCTGCAAAAAACCTGCAGAAAATCCATAAGGACCTGGTGCTCTGTGTATATCCATGCTAAATATTGCTTCACGCACATCTGCTTCTATGAATGGTCTGATTAGCATGCTATACTCACCGTCAGCCAAATGCTTCTTGATTACCCGACAGTTCTCTCCTCATTAGCTACCACATCCTCATTAATAACACCAAATAGACCCTTTTAGAATTTAATACCCTCTTATGCAATTTCATCAACATCAGTCACTACAGCCCCAGACTCTAAGATGGTCTTTCTTATTGCAGTTTTGGCAGTTCGAATTCTAACAGCTTGGTGGAAGAACCTAGTCCCCAGGTTACCTATAGAGAGCCAAGATTCTCGAGTTTCAATTTATAGAAATCCTCTTCAGCTTTCCTCAACACTTCAAACTGTTCTTGGAGTAATTTTTTGTCGCTAAAATGCTCTTCTGATTGCTACATTAATGCTAGTGCTTGAGCCACTAGGAGCTGCTGTTCCACTGCCCGAACTTGCTCACTGATATTATCATACACTTCTCTGTTCAACTTTTTAAGCTCCCTTTTCACAACCTTTAGCTTATTTTGCACTACATAAAGAAGGTTTCCTGTGAAACGTGTAGCCCAAGCCTGCTCTACAATCTCCATAAATCGAGGATTTTCTGCCTAGAAATCAAAGTACTTGAACGGCTTTGGGAGGCTCTTGATTATCGGAGCAGTATTGACTAAAATCCCACCATGATCTGAAAAGGACCCAAGAATCACCTCCATTGTGCCATTAGGGAAGCTCTCAATCCAATCAACATTCACGAGGCCCCGATCAAGTTTCTTTCCTATAGGATTTGTTTACTGGTTGTTGGACCATGTGAAAATAGGACCAGTAGTCCTATAGTTCACTAACTCCATATTATTCATCCAGGTTGAAAAATCCTCCATATTGGCCGTGATATAACGCAAGTTAGATGTCTCCTCTAGAGTCATCACTGTGTTGATATCCCCCCCCCCCCCCCACCCCACCCACACACACAATCCAAGCTTGGTCCTCTGCCTTATATCTACTCAACTCAGTATATGTATCTTGTCTCTCAACTTCTTCATTTAACGCATAGACTGCTGTGAAGAAACAAGACTCACCAGAAGCACTTTGTACCAGACAATGAACAAAATTCTTACTCGGTTTCAGCACTCTTAGCTTACAATCAGGGGACCAAAATAACCATAACGTTCCTAAGTCTGAGTCGAAATAGTTCAAAAACTTCTCCCAGCCATCAAAATACCCTTCAATTTTCTCTTCCGCCTTATTTTCATGGACTCTAGTATCGAGAACTGCAACTACATCTACTTTGTGCTTTCGCAGGATTTTGACAAAATTCTGCCTCTTCGAGGGTATACTAAACCCTCGAACATTCCAGTAAATAAAAATCATCTGGAAGTCGGGGCCTTAGCCCATAACTTCTTATTGACTTTCCTTGGTACAGCTTGCAGCTTCACTACCTCAGACTAATCAATATCACTCAATACACTAAAGGAGGAGGGAGAAATGTGCAGCACACTAGTAGGACGATGATAGAGTTGAAGGCAAAGAGAAATCATGGTGAAATCACTGATAATAAATGAGAATTTTTTAGGAGATACGGGTGGGGAAATTCCAATATTGCAAACAGATGAGTAAGGCTATATAAAAGCCTAACATTGGAGTTACTATTCATTAGTGGCTCACAAACTCCTCCAAGTGCAAGTGGGGACGTGACAAGTCCTTCTTTTACTGCACTCTCTCATTTTATTTATTGTCCGTTGTGTCTACATCTATTGCCCGTTAGATTTCGTCTATGATCTTTCGCCCAAATCATCGCATTGGTCCACCAATTCGCAACCCATCTCGAAACACTATCGATGAAATCATAAGTTGTCCTCTTCGACTGTTTGCCACAGCCGCTACTGAACATCCATACCATATCTCAAAATATTGTTGATGGAATCCTAGGTTGTACTTGTACCCATCCACCGTGTCCCAAGACCGCTACCGAAAATCCATACTAATATGTTTTGTGTTGCTGAGTTTTGTATCGGGACCGAGTTTTATATTCTTTAGTGTTTTCTTATTTCTCTTTTCTTTTGGTTAAACATGACAATTAAACTCAAACTCATGGGTATCCAACCTAATTCGACCAGGTGAAAGCAACTTAAACCAAACTTTAGTAATTTTAAATTTCCATTTTTCTTTTTGTTGAAAATGATAACTGAACCCAAACCCATTGTATTGGTGAGTTTTGTATCGAGAGCGAGTTTTTACCCGCTTATGTAGTTGCCATGTTGGGTTGAGTGTGAATTTGTTAAAAAATCAATTCGACCCGGTCAAAGCGAGTTGAACACAGGTTGATGAATTTTGGATCGAAATCGAGATTTGCCACTTTAATATTATTTTATTTTTCCGTTTACTTTTCGTTGAGAATGACAATTGAAGCAAGACTCGGTACTGACGAGTGACGAGTTTTGTATCGAGAGCGAATTTTATTTGCTTTTAGAATTGACATGTTCAGCCAAGTGTGAATCGTGAAAAACTCAGATTCGAACTAGTGAAGGCAAGTTGAACTTGGTGTATAGAGTTTTTGGTGAGGAACAAGCTCTATCCGCTTTAGTGTTTTTTATTTATCTTTTTTCCTTTTGGTTGAGAATCCAAACCTATGGGTATCCAACCTAATTTAACTCTTTACCCCGATGTTTACAAGCTTTCGGGAAGGAGTGAGTTATATTAGCTTTTGTAATTTTTGGGTCAAGTAGATTGTGAATTTGTTACAAATTCGGTTCAACCCGATCAAAGAGAGTTGAACATGATGTTGCCGAGTTTTGGATCGTGAGCGAGTTTTATCAGCTTTAGTGTTTGTTAATATCTCGGGCGTTAGTGAGTTTTATTCGCTTATGTAATTGTCTGGTCGGGTCGATTGTGACTTTGTTACAAACTCGGTTCAACTCGATCAAAGAGAGTTGAACATGATGTTGCCGAGTTTTGGGTCATGAGCGATTTTATCCGCTTTAGTGTTTGTTAAATTCTCTATTTCTTTTTGGTTTAGAATGAACTGGGGAAAAAAAACAAAGCCAAAAAAAACTAATCAATGGTATTCAATGGCTGACCCAGAAACTTTATTAACGGTATTCAACGATAGACCAAAATCATTAAGGGCTGTCAAATAGTATAATATCTCAATACTATCACCACTAAAACAAAATTTTACAAAGGTTTTTTGTCCCAAATTTGGATCCAAGGGTTGTAAATTGACAACCCTTAGACTAACTTGGGTCCGCCCCTGATGATATTACAGAAGAATATTTAACATAGAAATCTTTTGCTCGACGACCCTTCTCGTTTATTAAAGTTCACCGCTGCATCGACTACATAAAGTAGTAGATGACAAGCCCTTTATTTTTAGATCAAAATTCAAACTATTAATGTTTAAAATGTTATATTCTCGCTCACTCGCATGCGAAGCGGGTTTATGCTAGTGTCTAATATAATGAATCAACTACCCCAGGCCTAAGAAGCCCCTAAACTGATGTATCTTCCGTTGTAGATCTCGTCAAGGCAGTCAGAACACTCTGTACGGCAAAAACCAAGCTAGATTCCTCCATCCCCGAGACCATCACGTACTCTGTGTGCCGTTAATCGGGGCAGAACCTCCCCGACCTGGGTTCTCCTCCAATTCGGAAGCTCCAGAGTTTACCTTTCGATGACACCATGTTGCCATGGCAGAGGAACTCCCACGAGAACCACTTCTCAATCGTCCGATGAACATCGTGCACCACCACATGCGTCACATTCGGCGAGGCTCTGGCCAACACCCCAGCTGTGTAGATCGCCGACATCCTGCCTGGCGCGTCAGGGGAGTCGCCCCTGGGCCCATCCACCACCACCACGTCCCACTCGTACTCGTACACCTGGCGCGGCAGAGTCCTCAGCGCGAGCCTGCAGGTCGAATTCTGAAGCTGCAGGCTCGAGGCTTTATCCGGTCCGCAGTCTGCAGTCTCCCTGGCATGCTTCAGCAGCTCGTAACCCTTCTTTGCTGGTAGCGGGTAGTCAACTTTGTGGATCCAGGTGGCGTTGGATTTGTCGGATTGAGTGTCGCTGATCTTGTCGGAGTCATCCTCCAGAAACAGAGTGTTTCCCCCTGCATTGAGGGAGGAGAGCTTCAGGTACTGTTTTCCGAGGCCGAAAATCAGCAGGTTGCAGGGCGCTCTGCTCTTGACGAGGCTGGTTAGGAGCTTGAACTCCTTCTTGGAGAGGCGTGAGGCGACCGGTCCGGTCGTTGGGTTTGGTGGAGGCAGAGGGAGCAATGGAGGGGTAACAGTAGTAGAAGAAGAAGAAGTGGTGGTGGTGGTGATTGCGATCCTCAGGAGTCTGAAGATGGAGAAGCTGGAGAGGAGAAAGACGAGGAGGGGAAGGAGCTTTCTGGCGGGGAACTTCATGCTTTGATCTGCTCTGAAGATGGGATGCTTACGCGCAGGTGGTTGGTCGGAGTCAGGGGAGATGGTTGGAGGCGAAATTTTGAGGAGAGGGATTACGAGAGAGCGGTAATGAAGCACTTCTGGTGGTGGCATCTTCAAGCGCTAGCTGGGAGGCGGCCTCTCTTCCTCCTGCAATGGCTTCAGCTGCCAAATCTCGACATCTCTGTCGCTGAAGGGATACTGGTCAGGATACTATTGGGGCATTGGCTCCTTCCTTTCAATTTGAGAACTTCCATTGTTGTTTGATCATTGAGTCAGTAAAGATTTTGCTTTTTGGGGGGCAAGTGTTGATTTTTCATCGGCTAGCAAGTCAGCTGTCACTTGAGCTGCTTTCCTTTCATTATCAATTCTAATGATAATGGAAGATGGTGGTGAGGTGGGAGCTCTGGAATTTTGTTTGTTTTGTTTATACTCTACTGCCTTGTTGTGCCTGGATTGGATATGCTCTCTCATGTGTAAGTTGTAACATTACGGTTTGGTTGAGAAAGAGTGGAGTTGAAGAAAGGCGATGGGCGTTTGTTGCAGTTGGGTAGTTGGTTCAGAAACTGCTTTCAATTACATTTGACTTTGGAAAATTAGGAGTCAGATTAGGTGCTAACCTAATAGAAGGTTAGTAGCGTCAAGCGTGACAAGTATGTTTTCGGACGTTAGATGAAAATCAATATATTTAAAGCGCAAGTAACCATAAAAAACGAATTACTGTTCATTATGACTTTTTCATGAATTGGATTTAGCTGTGGGAAATTCTATTTTCATATCTTTATTCTCACCCTCTATCTAAGTCATTCGCCCCGCAGCCTTTTTAATAGTATATATATAAATCGTACCTTCGCTTGCATTATGCAAAGGTTTTGTTAGGTAAATTAACTTTAAACTAATAGCCTAATTAAATGTAATATTTTTCTTAACTTAAATTTTATTATTAGATCACACACATTATATCTTGATTTTATTATTAGAGACTTGTGATAGAGGGCGGTGCGATTTAAATCTCATTGATTATCGCATCCTACATAGTCACTACAATATGCTCTCTAGATTGAATTATGTTCCCTAGACTCATGGATTCAAAGTAAGAAGAGCAGTGAAAATGACTGTAAATGAAAATATTTTTAGTATTTTTGAAGAAATTCAAATGGATCATAAAACCAATAGTTTCGAAATTGAATGACTAAAATTAAGTCATGTATCGAGCTTAACCAAGTAACACGTAGCACCCAATTCCACCCCACACTTTCAAATGGACATTGTCCTCAATAGACTAAAAGATAGTGAGCTATGCAAAAGCTGAAAACGGGTTACTCCATTTGTCGTTCAAATTTCAAAATAGGGACTTATGCTAGTAGCACTCTTATTGTTTAGGGAAATTTTAAATCAAACAAAAGCATATTATAGAGAGAGAAATTGCTTCAACTCTTAAATCCAAGCAAAATAGACAATAGATGTTACTCCCGATTGAAGAACATGCCATCATTGGATGCATGATCAATCGTGTTCTGACGTCCCTCATCACCCCATCCAGTTGGCATTCATTGTTGGTGCCTCCATGGGATGTGGATTGAATCCACTTTGGTATATGAACTCTTGAAAGTCCTCTGATGCTTCGTACTCCAACTCCTCGATCTTCTCTAGCAACTTCTTTGACCTTGTACAAGCTATCTTAGTATCATTTGTGATAGCTTCAAATCTGGAGTTGGTGGAGCTTCTTTCAACTTGATTTGTATATGGTGAAGTTAAATATATGGATTGGATCAGTGTAGTCAAAATCGCGCTTTAAGGCGTAAAATCGTACGATTTTACGTTTCTAGGGTAGGGAAACGTTTCAAATCACCAATAAAATCGTTTTTTATTCAAAATCGTTCAAAATCATGGTAAAATCGTTGAAATCGGATAAAAACACGTTTTAGACCGTTTTTGTACGATTCCAAGCAAAGGAGCAAAACTGTCTCCTCTCACCAAAACGACTTCGTTTTTATTTTGGAAAAAAAAGCTGCCAAAACTCAAAAGGGAGAAGGGCTGTGCTGAACGTCGTTTTTTATTTTGAAAAAAAAAAGGTCGGGCTACCAAAAAAGAGAAGGGCTCGGCTGAACCCTAATTCATCTCCATCTATCTCCTCTAGCGCCGCAGGGCTCTCCCACTCCACCCTTCTCGTCATCGGCCGCCGCCTGTCTCCCTTGGCCGCCGCCTATCAACAATCGCCCAGCCGCTGCCCTTCGCCAATCGCCCGGCCTCCTCCCGTCGCCAAGCTGTCGGTCCGCCGCTACCCCTCAGCGCCTCGTCGCCCGCCGCCGCACTAATCCGTCGCCCGTAGCTCGTCGCCCGGTGCTCTTCGCCGTCGGCTGTAGCTGGTGGTCGTCGCCCACTCGCCCGTAGCAAGCCTCCAGGTATAAACTATAATTCTGTCTTTGTGTTTGTAATTTTTCCGTGTAGGATTTGATTTAGAAGTTGAGATTTTGTGTTTGTAATTTTTATGTTTATAATTCAGAAGTTGAGATTTTGTGATTTACAACAATTATTCTTTGTTTTATGTAGGATTTGCAATTTCAATTATGTCGAGTGGGGGTACTAGTGCAAGCAGTACTGTATCCAATTCTAGAGCGAAGAGAAAAAATGCACAGGGCAATCGTCTAGATCCCGGTTGGCAGCATGGTATAGATGTACTCGGTAATGGGCAGAAAGTGAGATGCAAGTATTGTGATAAGGAAGTATGTGGAAGCCGATGAATTGATGTAGTTTTCCTTCTATCCTTTGTAACATTTGTGTGCTTTGATTGTGAGGACTTGGATTATTAAACTCATATGTCATTATGTAAACTTAAACAAGCTTGTGAGAATTTGGATTCTTAACTCGTTTGTGGCTTACGATTTATGTTTATGACCTTATTATTAAGATGTTATGAGTTTGTTCTAATTCAGACATGAATTGCAGGTATTTTTTCTTTTATCTAAACTCTGTGAACTCATATTTTACATAGTTTATGCCGTACTTAGCATTATTTTAACTATTATACAGGATGCATCGAAAACTTACGCTTTGATTCGCCGCTTTTTGATTTTACCCCTTTTTCGCTTTTAGGTAGAATCGCCCTTTTAACTGCATTGGATTGGTCCAAATTGCTTTTCTTTGTTCAACTTTATCTATATCTGGTTGAGATCACCCATTTTGAAAGTATCATAATGACAAAGAATACAAAATGACAAATGGATTGGCATATTATTGGAGACCACCTGGACAACGATAGAAGGAAGGACTACAAGAACTGAGTAGTGACAAAGATATTTTAAACATGGCTGATAAAATAACCAAAGACTTGTTATGGAATGTTGCATTAGACACCTCATTGTAAATCCGTTTAGGGCACAAGGAGGTAATAAATAAACCTAATACTTGTTATGGAATGCTGCTAGAGCAAGCTATGATTGAGAATCTAAAACGTGCATGACTTAATTTAAAGATCATCATGATGAAAAACCTTATAAGTGGTTATTGAAAAACACGTGTTCACAATGGTATAGGTCACATTTCCAACCATACTGCAAGTCAGACTTATTGACAAACAATATTTGTGAGAATTGGAATAACTCCCTCTTAGGAGTTAGGACCAAACCAATCATAAACATGTTTGAGACTACCAGGAATATTTTGATGCGTAGAAGGACACGATAAGTCATTTAATTCAAAAGGAACAAGGGGCAAACCGCAATGTGGTGGAAACTTTCATAGTAGAAATGACCACTTTGCTACAGGTCAAGCATCAGGGGATGAAGGATTGAATAGAGTGATGCAGTCCATCCAAAGATCATCAAGAAAGATGACATTTGTAAGTACAAAACTGATTTTTAATAGGTTGGGTAATTAGTATAAATGGTCACAAACCTTTACACTTAGTACAAAATGGTCACAAACCTTTAATTTGTAACAATATGGTAACAAAAGTTTGAAATGGTTACTTCTATTTAATTTGTGACATTTTGTATTAATTGCCAAGGTTTGTTATCGAGTCATTACAAATTAAAGGTTTGTGACCATTTTGAGGTCGGATCGTGTGTTCGTCAAGTATATGGCATAAACCACTTGAACGACATATGAGATGTTGGGTCATGTATTCATCGATATACTTCCTTTTCCGAATAAGAATGCCCTCTATTTACTTTGCAATTTCAAAACCGAGAAAGTAAGAAAGTAGGCCAAGTTTTTTCAACTAAAAAAGCATGTAACCCGTTTGTGAGGCGTTGAATTCCTCACTGTCATTCTTTGTTTTTTTACGAGTACTGGCAACCTTTCTTACGATCATATCATTCACATAAATTAGCAAAGCCATCATATCTCGACTGGAGGGAATTGTAACAGTGATCAGGACAAAGGAAGTCGACCCATCCAAGAAGGCTCACTACTCAATTCGAAGGTGACACCGCTTGTTGTCTTTACGAAGATTTCCTTTCCTTTCTTCTTTTGTTTGAAATAGGACCAGACGAAGTTCAGTTATCAAACTGTCATTGAAATCTCACGTGCTCGAAGAACTCTTGAATAAACAAAAAGAATGAAGAAGAGAATCGTCTGTCGAAGTAGAAGCTGAGAATAATTTATTTCTATCTCCTTCCATTCAAGGAAAGAACTCTTTAAGCGGATCAACAAAGGCGAGATCAGCTCACTTGCACAACCCAGCTTAGAAGTTCAGTTCTTTGCCCTGTTCTCTTATTGGCATCGAGTCTAATCGATTCCTAACAGCGGTAAGCCCGATAACTGGGAAAAAGGCAAAAACACTAGCTGATAGAGATGGCACAACTCCTTCTTCTTTCTCTGTGAGGAAGTGAACCAGAATCCGCAGCTATTGAAGACGGTCTTGGCCCCTGGGATAGGAAGAGCAGGCATGCCATGAGTTCAGATAGACCAGACCGACGGAACTCCACAACCAGATAAGCAAGTGTGGAGGCATAAGCTGAAGGAGGAGGAAATGGATTTAGCTCAAGAGAAAACCTATGACCTGGTGGAATGGAAGCTCCTTCTGCCACCTAAGGTACGAATGTTCTTATAGTGCTTTCTACAAAACATCTTACCGACGGGGAAGAATATTGAGTCGAGGAAGAAAGAAGCGGCGGTGGAGTGCCCATTATGTAACCTAGTGGAAATCCAAGAACATATATTCAGAGAATGCCCATGGGAGAGACGGATTTGGTCTCCTACAGAGTTTAAGGAGTTGTTCGAAAGAGGGGAAGAGCTATCTTGCACAACTTGGTTCTGCGAACTATCAGAGGACATAGAAGAGGAGAAGCTAGCAAAACTCACACTGATCCTATGGAACATTTGGAATGAGAGGAACAACCACCTATTCAACAAGAAGCAGGTGGAAGAATGGGAAATTATGGGTCGGGCT